GTGAAAAAGAAGGTCAGGCTCATTTCAAAAGTGTCACTTCCAATCAAAAAACAGACTTTGGGCTAGATTCCAGTTTGACAAGAATGATCACAGATGGGGAACTCGAGAGGAGCATGAAGCCAAGAAGTCATCCTGTTTTTATTTAGGGAAGAAAGGAAAAGAAATGAAATAGTGCAGAAGGAACAAAATTTTCCGCAGTGGAAAAATCAGTTTTCATCTGAAGAGTGATGTGATACAAGGCTGAGAGGTTGATGCGTACAAGGTCCTAGTCGGAGATGAAGGCCACTACAGCTGGAGAGCTTAGTGGGATGAGGGCTCAGCAACAGCTGACCACAGGCAAGCAGCAGAGAGAAACTAAGGAACAACATAGCAGACAATTACAGTCCTAGAGGTCTGAGACAGATATTAAGTCAGGTGAGTCTCACTTACTACTCCCGAGGCCTTTATAGAAGTTTTGCTTTCTGTTTATCCGTAGTTAAAAACAATGCTATACCTATATTTTATCACAAATCTTTAGAAGGTTTGAGTCTCTTCTAGCATTTTATTTGCGTGACAAAGTATATGCCTCAGGAACCTGTCTGAGCCCTGGTAAACCACTGAATGATTGTGTGTGCTTTTAATGTCACCCACCTTTATTCTGAAACATGGAGAACACTTGTTTCCTGTGATCCAAAGGGAACTCCTAAGTAAAGTCATTTGAAAAGTGTCATTAGACTTTACTATGATCTGAACAAACACATCTCTCACTTGATTTCAAGATGTAGAGAAGATGCCATTGGTATAGACAATTGATGTCATTAATGAAAATAAATTCCAGTTTGCTCCTGAAAGGCCTTTGAAAGAAGCCATGTTATATTACCACTCAATTCTGGTCTCTTCAAGTAACTTATGAGCAACTACAACTGAAACATAACCTAGAAAAATAGGGATAACTGTATCCTAAATCATAAACCAAAGAAATTAACTTGTACTTTCATTATAGAGAAAAGCAATGAGAAAGTGACTTAAATATCTGGTTCCTCCTGTTTTATGGTTTAAGAAACAAACTCCCTAGCTGTGTAAGGGGTTTATTTTTTTTTAAAGTATGGAAAACTGCAGCTTCATCCACATCCTTTGTCTAAAATTATACATCTGGTATTATGTCCAATTAAAGTAGTTTTGCTATGCGTAAAGTTGAACACTTTTATATAAAAATTAAAGACCACCCCATAAATGCATAAATGAAAGGAGTTCAAGAAAATACACACTGGAGAAATGAAGTGAAGGACTGAAGAAGTATAGTGGAATAGGAAAATTTCAAAATTGCACTCACTAAAATCTGAACATTTTTTCCTACGCTTATTTGCACGTCTTCTGAAGAACACTGAAACAGTCAGATTTGTTATACAAGACATCTACCAAAAAAAGAACAATCCCTATACCCTCAACACGTTTTCTACTCCCCTGTACTAGGGTGTCACAACTCAGAGACGTGACTGTGCCCTGTGCTTTGCCTGACAGAAAAGTATTAAAGGGGTAAATGACTGGAGTTTTAATCCTGGGGCAAATTCCACTTTCGTGTATCTGCAAGTCACAATAATAATGAGCCTAAAGAAACAGTGGGTTTTATGAAGAACTTTTCTGACAAGTATCTACATTTGTATTGTCTACTGTGAATGACCTATTAAAAGCAGCCTGAAGCTCAGTGCCATCTCTTCATGGGCATCTGGCTATCTGATTACTGTAATATCTTTCTTGTCTTTCTTATCTTTAAGCTTTCCTTCCACAGGTTCCAAATCCATGGTGGAGTAGAGAGCTTTCACTGTTTCAGATTTTGCAAATCATTGCACACTATCAAGATTCCATATGCATGTCTTCATTATTCACATGTAAAACACTGTCCATCATAAGCATGAGGATCTTCAGAACTATATTACAAGATATTTCAGGGCATAAAAGCTTTGCTGCTAACACTTGTAGGAATGAGCACTCTAAAATTAGCATCCTGAGGAGAATGTGAGATCTGTTCTGAGTGACCCAACAAGCTTAAGGTAACAGCTTAAGCACTGCAATTGAAAATAGATTATGAGAGGCATTACCTGGAAACATTTTAAAGTCTTGAAGAAAAATAATAAGATTATTGTAAAAAAATATGTCCATGTGCAATACAAAGTGCAGCAGTCAGCCCATAGGGAGATAATGCATGGTGAAAGGACATAGGAAAATCATAGAATCATAGAATTTTACGGGTTGGAATGGACCTACAGATCATCTATTCCCAATCTCCCCTGTCATGGGCAGGGACACCAAGGCCTCATCCAGCCTGGCTTTGAACACTGCCAGGCTTGGAGCATTCACTGCTTCCCTAGGCAACCTGTGTCAGTGTCTCACCACCCTCACAGGAAAAACCTTTTTCCTACTATCTAACCTAAATTTTCCCTCTTTCAGTTATCCTGATCCAGAAAGTTTTGATGAGCTTAGTTTAGATGAGTGAGTTCTAACAAATCTGAGGAAATCTGCTGTTAGAAACTCTTGACTGAAAAAAGATCTACCCAAGAATACTGATTTTTCTTGACACACAGAGAAACAGTAAACAGAGCATTCCCGTCAGCAACACAGTCTAGAAGAAAATGGTGTAGGTTTCCAGTTGCTTCTACTTTCCAGTACTATGAATCATAGGTGGTCCTAAAAACCTTCAAGACAGTGACAGAGTCAAAGAAGCAGAAAGAACATATTTTTTTACACAATTGGATGAGGTGGTTTCCAGAAAAAAAAAGCACCTGAATATACTTGTGTACTTATTCCTCAAAAATAAATGGACATAAAAATTTACATTTATCCTCATCACAGTTTTAATAGCTCTTTGTTATTAATATAAATGCACATTTACATGAAAAACATTTTTTGTCTTTTCCATTTTTGAGGGTGACTTGGGAGACTTGTTTCTGGCACGGTGATCTTGCTGGTCTTGTTTTTAGTGTCCACTGAGTTAACTTGATAATATATTAACCTGATAATATACTTCAAAACATTCGGTATGGTCAACAACTCTCAGGGATCATGAGGTGAAAATAATCTGCAGAAGGCTCACAAGGCTCCTATAAAACTCCTGAACTGACCAATACTCACATATGAGCACTGGTATATGGCAAGTTGGCTGTCCAGATTTAAAGGAAATGAGATGAAAGAAAAATCATTCAAAAATATTTCTAGTATTTGTAAGGCAAAGTAGTCCTGTGCACCACAATATCAGTTCTGGAAAGAGTAAGTTTATGCCCTCGCTGCAGAAAAGCCTAGTGATCATAAACTTGAAAATACATGCATAGTTTTACTTTTCTTTGGATTTTAAAAGTTATATTAAACTCTTCCATTAAGCAAACACAAGCAGCTCAGAAGAGACCTTTACGATTCTGCGCGCTGCTAATGAGCACTCATAGAAACAGAGAAAGCATATCTAAAAGCCGGGAGAAATATGCATGTTACAAAGGTAATCAGCCAGAAGAGCTTAGTTTTTCATCCTGAAGGAGGAGAAAGAACTTTTATAGGGAACCTTTAAAGTACAGAGAAGCCCAACAGGAACATTGAAACAGTCAGTGGCACAGAGCTGAAAGTATGAAGTCAAGATCCAAAAGTCACAGAATAAATACATAAAGACTTAAAAAAGATTTTATGTAGTGTGTGCATGTGCACATGTGTTTGTAAACAGAGCACCAAAGAGCAAGGCAAGTTGCAGTGTGACCCATTCATATCCAGACATGCTATTTTTTGTTCCTGCACTTTGAATAACTGCAAGTGTAGTGTGTGAGAACAGCTAATTCAGGAACAGGGATGATAACTCCTTCATGGGGTAAAATTAGTCTGCTTTCACACTTTTAATCTCACTGTAGCCTATAACCAAAATTTCAACAAAAGTCCATAATAAATTCAAGTTATATGATGACTGGAGTGTTTAACTAGAAGAGTAGGTGAAATTAAAATCTTACTAGTCATGAGTGCTGCATTTTTCAGTAACCAAATCTTAGATTATTAATGCTCCTATAACCTTTTCACATGAACACAATTTTGCCTTATGAACTCAGGAATATTTTCAGAACTGGTTTAAATAATTTATTCAAATACCCTCTGTGTCCAATTGCTTACTCAAGTAAGTATTTTCTTTGAGCAATCTGAAACAGAAATAAATTACAATGGAAAGAAGTGACTAAGCCTAGGAAGAGATATGAACTATCTGCTGCCAGCACAGGCCATCTGAAAAACCTCATAAATCAGTAGCCATTCTCATTGCTATTCAGTGTGTGCACTGGCATAACAATGCCTTTTGCTGCAGTGTAACTGTCAGTATTCCCCAAACTGTAAGTTCTCAACGGGAATAAAAGGAGATAAATACACTTTGAAAATCAACCCAGCCAAAATAAAAACCCAGAGCACCTCAAATAACTTGAGGAAACTATCAAGACTGTACTTTTCGATCTTTGTTTGGTAACAATATTAAATATATTGAAATAGGAATGCTTTTTTACATTCACTCATACTGCTTGATTCACCCCTGTACAGTTTTCTCTCAACGTGCAGAGGCACAGTACAAGAGCAACTTTGAAGCAAATAAATACACAAATATAAGCCTGATGTTAGCTTGCATCAAGGCCTTTCTACATGCACGTGGCTCTGTGGAAGTACAGTGCAAAGTAGATGCAGATTACATCTGAATGTTAAGACTTACACTTTCCATTATAAATAGCTTCTTTTAATAGACTGAGCATTTTGCTGTATTTATGGCATTCACAGTGTACTCATGACTACAGTTTCCAGGTGCACCATGTAATGTACAACTTTCTCAACTAAACATACTCCATCACTCCGGAGCCATACTCTGCTTTAAGCTCTCAGCTAATTAACAAAGGCAACAGTTTTGTACATTATGCATCATGTACTTTATTTCTAATACAGTGCATTAATTATTTATATGTTAAATGATGGGCACTTCAACTAGTCACAACACAGCTGCAAGTAACTTTCATTACCTGATCTTGTGATTTCTTTTTCTTCTTCTTCTTCCCCCAGCACCCTGAACTCTCTGCATCTTTTCCGTTGGCATCACCACAGAGTAATCCATCAAGTTCATCTGTTCCCATCTGCTGTCCCTGAGATGTTTCTGCAGCTAGCCTGTATGAGAGGTTCCTTAAAATGCACACACAGTTTTCAACGGTCTGAAAAGTATGACAAAAAGAAAAATACAGGAAACAAAACCATAAAAAAAATTAAAATCCTTCCCTTGCTCACTCTGTATACAAAGCATAAGAAATTTCATCTATCTTTGCGCATACATGTTTCCAGGACAGTTCTCATGTGCACATTTATGACTGCTCTCCACGTAACCACAGCTTAAGAGATTTAGGAAATTTTATGGCAACAACTCAGTTGTCTGGACAATATTTTTTGGGGTTTTTTTTTTTTTTGTTCTGAATTTCACACTGGAACCCCATGTGAAACAGAAGCTGAGGTACAAAGTGATCAAGAGACCCTGAATACAGATCATGTCAGCAAATTCCTATCTCAGTGAATAGAAATTGCTACAAACAGAAAATGGCAATAGGTTCTGGGTTTGTTTTTGTCTTCTTAAAACCCAAAATAACCTTTTCCTGGCATAAATTCTACGTAAATTATCAAAAAAATGGGATCTGAATTCCATCTCACAAGTACTTGTAACATGAACAGATAACGTTTCTCGAGTCTCAGAAATAAAACTAGAAATCTGAGAGACCTCCTGCTTTTACTGCTTCTAGCCAGGCCACAGATACCTTGTGCACAGTCTTTCCCTTTCATGCATTTCTCCCCCTAATAGGTTGTGCTGATGCTGGCAGGAATCCATAAATGCATAAGACCCAGTGGAGGAAAAATCACTGATAATTCAACATAATTTCTGCAAGTCTAAAAGAATTTCAGTTTATACCTGAACCTTACTCATTTAGTTAGTTCAATTTGGTTTGATTATCCCTAATAAGAAGGATATGAGCTTAATTTTCTAGAGGCAGGGAAAGCATGGTTAAAAAAAGTCATTCTCTATCTATCTATATTTATTTCAACTGTTCCTAATGCTCCATGGAGATAAAACGCAATAGTCACTACATCCCAGCTCTGTTGCTCCATTAACCCAGAGTGGAATGACTGTGAGGCTTTCAGCTCTGTTGTACTCTGACATATTCACCAATGAGGCAAACAGATGGGGCTTCGTTTACTTTCATATACTGTATGAGCTGCTGCCAGGTATGCATTTGGCACACATTTTTTGCGATAACACTAAGTTCCAGAGATGATATTGAATTCATATTTGTCTATGTAGGAATATTTATGCATCTATTTTTTAACATAGATGAATTTTCACAATACACTTGTACTAATTTGAAATCTCCAGCCAAATACATGAACACATGTAGAAACATATATATATGTGTATGTGTGTAGAAAGTGTTCTCAATGCACCTTCCATAGCTGAAAACTTTGCAGATGTCACAGTAACAATTTTTAAAAAAGATTCCTGCCTCTTTGACTTTTCTTTAATATCCTCATACATTAATTTTATTCACTTTTGCCATAATATGCTGAAATTGAAGCTTTGCATTTGTTGACAAGGATCCTTAATTCCCCTTTTTACAAATAATAGTCTTAGCATTTAAAATTCTCATTTTGTGGAAAACATAAGCTGAGTCCATCATAAGAACGTTAACTCAAATGAAAAACTGATAAGCAAACTTCCAAGGCTCAAATGCAACCAACACCTTCACAAAGATGAACTCCTACAGGCCAAGAAAGCTGGTTCTAACCATGCAGCTGGACAGACTTAACGCCTTCTTGACTTGAACCTTTGAACTTTCAGGGGTCCTTATATTCCTCACTCCATTTTCTGTTTCATCATAAGGGGGCTAAGTACTAGTTCACTAGTCTTTCTACATTTGCTACCTTTTAGCTGCTCTGAAGCTACTGAAATGAAAAACGCTGGGACATTTAGAGGGAGGTGGCTGGGAGGGGTAGTAGAGGCTGGTGGGCACCAAGTTTGCCCCCTGCTGCCAAGTGTGGTGCCTGCCTTGCGGGTGGATGTCCTTGGAGTATCACCCTACTAAACTTCTATTAATGGAAAACTGATTACAGACCAATGGGTTGTGGGATTTCTTGGGGTGTTTTGGAATTGTTTTAAAAAAACCAAAGCCATGCTGCTAGCCCAGCACCACATGCTACAAACCTCTCTTAATTCCTCTCTCTATTCCCTGAATTCACAGGCAAATTTTACCCATTTGATTCAGGTTAGTGACCAGAGACTTCTGGAGATTATTCCTATAAACTCACAGAGGTCCATGGACACTCTGTGAAGGATCATTTAGAAATACAAACTCAGTGGGCTTTAAAACCTTGCTATGTAAAGGGCTGCTCTCCTGCAACTCCTGGGGGTTTACAAATGGACCAAGGCTGCCCTAGAGCTGCAACTGTAATTAATTTAGCACTGTATACTGAAAGCAAAAGGTATTTGAAACTCGCCTTTTTATTCTTCTCTGGAATACTTTAATGCATTACAAATCTTCAATTTGTAAATGCTTGGAGTCTCTGTAATTAGGCAGTGCCTTTCACCTTTGGAGAAGCTTGTTCATATCCTAGTACTTTCAGAGGAGTAAAGTTGACATAATAAGGCATCTTAACACAGGTTGTTACTGAAAGCATTAATTGATCCTCTTCAAAGAAGAAATAATGTTGGTTTATTGCAAAACTGCCTATTAATTACCCAATTTTTGGGGGGCTGTGTGTCTTCTAAGTCTGTCTCATTGTTATTAGCTCTGTCTCATACTGGGTAGAGCAGAGCAATGTAAGAAACTTTACATGGAATATGACATATTTGCTCTTCTTAAACCAGTATAATTTCTACTTTAATTTTTAAAGTGAGAGGATGACATATTTACCTGTGTACATTACTCAGGTAGGCACAAATACAATACTTAGCACACAAAAATACACAAGTCAACAGAAGGAAAAGAAAAAGATGGGATAAATTATGCTTTGCTAAGGCATCCTTCACAATGCATTTAAAAAAAACCCCAAAAAAACCAAAAACTGTCACTTTATAGTCCCTATGTATCCAGAATACCTTGATTTCTTGCTCCTGAAAAGACAAAGATGACAAACCTTACTATCAATTTCACTGCTCCCCAGAGCAGACTGGATCACGTACAGCAATGCATCTGTCAGGCCATCACACTCCCTCATTCTTCTGCGGGCCTCCTCTCCAGCAGAGCTGACATTCCTGCAAGGCAACAGCAAAGGTCACCACCTGCACAGCATCTGTGCCCACCACCCCTCCTGAAACCTTCTCACAGTTAACATACATATAAAACACATTTTCTTTTCTCCTTTCATCAGTTCAGAGTTGTGAATAATGGAGACAGCTGCAAATGAGCTCAGGAAATGTAAGGCACAGGGGAACAAATGGAAGACATTAGGTCCTCCTCAGGACAGGGCTGAGTGGCCAAGCAGCATGCGCCCACCTGCCTTGGGAGACTTGTGGCCCACTAAAATTTGGAGAAGGGCTGATCATTTTTCTTTCTTTCTTTTTCTTTTTTTTTTGGTAGCTTTTATAGTACTGAGAAAGCATTTTTAAAATGTGCATATGTAGATATAAATCAGGATTTTAAATGTCTAGAGGTTTTGCCAAAGAAATCTCCTAGGAATTGAAGAGCCCAATAGGTAGGGCTCTCAACCTAAGAGAAAAATATTATCAAAGCATAATATAAAACACCTGGTATTGCTTGCTTCTCATTTTACGAGTGTTTCCTTTTCTCTTTCGTTTTGAGAGAACATTAATGCCTCAAACTTCTCCTTACGTAGTTACTCACAAGTTGTTTTACACTGCAAAACTAAAGACCTCAGATAATTATAATAACATTATAATAATATTATAATAACTGTGTTCCTCAGATGGGGCCAGAGGGTCTTCTGAACACATTTAAATAGATCCAATTAAAACAAAATTTACTGCATAAAATAACGTGTCATAAAGCTCAAAATGTTGATATATAAACAGGTAGGTATGAATGAGCATATGTAAACAGAATCTGCATTTGCTAACATCAAGTCTCCCTGAGAAAAACTGCATTCAAATTTGCACAGCAGTTTTGATTTGGAAATGGGTGAAATTGCCATCTCAGGAACAGGTAAACCCTTCATCTAGTCTCCTTCAGTAGGGGAAGACAACCCTCTGCTGAGGTGTCTCATCTGTAGCTGCTCTCTCCTCACTACTAAAGTTTATACAGGAAAAGAACATAAAAGAACACACGCACCAGTCCTATGTATTTAATACCAGAGTATGGAAATGGAAGGGGGGACACTGGCCCCTGGATTTGGGAAGAAGGCAAGGTATTTTCTATCTCTTATGCCATTTCCAATTTCCTTTGCATTAAAGATGGAAAAAGGACAAGAACCCTGGGAGGGGGGAATGAATTTCAGATAGAGGAAGGTGCAAGAAGTAAAGGATAGGTTTCCTTTCAATTCTTTCTCTGCTCTACCTACTTCATCCAGTTCTGCCTCCTTATCATCTAAAAAAACCAAAAAAAAGCAAAAGAGCCTTATAACTATATCCTCCAGAGAGTCTTATAACTGGACAATCTCCAGCCCCTCCAATGCAGGTTCTTAACTGATTCTGCTCCCTAAACACACATGATTTTCCATCTATACTTTCATCCCCATACAGTCCTAATTAGTTCTGCTCTCCCACACACAAATTGCCCCGATTAATTCAATACTGTTCCCTTCACCTGTACAGACAGCTTGACAGAAAACATATAGCCCAGGAGGACTAAAACAAACTCCTGTATCTCTCTAGCACACAAATTCATGCTCTTCATTCTCCTTGAAACCCCTCATTTTTTGCCACATTACACATCAGAAGTCTGCCCCTCCTAACGGCTTGCAGGTTTTGTTTTATCTGGTTCCTTTGGTCCCTGAACTCCATACCGCTTCCCCTGTAAGACCAGCAGATGAGGGGTTTTCCACCAATTCATTTGAAAATATTCTTCTGTCATCTAGGAACTGGGATCTGGAGAACATCAACTGGAAAAACTCTCTCCCTTTGAAGTGATGGAAACCTGCTGACTTCCCTTTGGGTGGTAGAAATTGTTTTCCTCAAACAGTACCCATTGTATTTGCAGGACTGGGGAGTCCACTTAAAGTGTATCCTGAGTAGACAATCCCCTTATTAAAGGCACAGCTCCACATAAAATTCCAAAAGGGCAGAACATGTAGGAAACTCAGAATTACAGATCAGAAAAGTGCATTGTGTGGCAGAACATGTAGGAAACTCAGAATTATGGATCAGAAAAGTGCATTGTGCGGTAGGAGGTGAGGAAAAGACGGATTATTTGACTTCTATTTGAAATTCTGTTCTCTTACCCTCTAGGAAGATAGAGATAGGCAGATAGAGATAGAAAGGATGTCGAGGCACTGGAGCAGGTTACCCAAAGGAGCTGTGGATGTCCCACACTTGGCAGTGTTCAAGGCCAGGCTGCATGGAGCTTTGAGCAACCTAGTCTAGTGGAAGGTGCTGCTGTTCATGGCAGGGGGTTTGAAATCAAATTATCTTCAAGGTCCCTTCCAACCTGTATCATTCTATGATTCTGTGATAGACAAAGAAAGTTGTATCCAGCCCTACAAGAATAACTGCACAAATTACAATAGGAGGATGCTGAGAAGGGGTTCTCAGCATCTTTCCTTGCACCGCTATATATGCATATAAAAAGCTGAAATATTATTGAATCCTTTTAAACAGAGAGAGATTTAACAGTCTGTACCAACATAATGTGTCCAGGCTTCTTCATTTTCTGCAGTTACATATACTGAATGCAAGCTTGTAAAACAGACTGACTTAGACATCAGTAGAAACATAGCGATATATTCTCCCTGGTCTTCTCATTGAGGTGATTTTTCCTACTTTCTACCATGGCCAAATGCATGCCACCTTGACTGTTCAGAGCCTGCAGAGACTCTCAGCTCCTCTCCAAGTTCACCAGAAACTCCTACTCATCAAGACAGCAATGTAGACAACCTTATAGTCCCTGAGCTGTGAGCTGTCTGCCTCATTCATTTCCAGCCAAACAAAGAATATGAGGCCTTTATACAAAGCAATACAGACACACCAGTGGTACATCTTGCACAGAAAATGCATTTCTTTGCTCTGTGTGGAGAAGCTGTCAAGTTTGCTTCTTCTGTTCATCATCTTTCCCCATTATGCTCCAGCTCCTTCTGTAACCAAGAGGTGGATATTCTGCTTTTCCTTTTCTTATAAAAGTCACTGTCTAGTTTCTGCACTGACTCATAGCTACTACAGCCCTTCCCAAGATATGGTGTATTTATTTACATGGGAACTAGCTTAACAACCAAAACAAAATCAAACCTTGCATTAACATTTTGGCAGAAATAACCACTTGATTATTTAAAAAGAAATATATCCCATTATCTAACTAGTCCCATGTCACCTCTATTGAAGGAATCACTGTTAACTGAGATCTTTCACAGAAGGTCACTAATATCACCATGTTCAGGCTATGCAGCTCTGCAAAAGAGAAGCAATTTCCAGATTATGTGAGCCGTCAAAGAAAACATGCTGCCATATTAATTTTATTTTCCACTGTTAACTTGCACATGCTGTAGCTGTCAGTGTGACAGGGAGTAAGACATGATTTGCCATTTGTGAATTTACAGGTCACTGTGTAAATGTTAACTTGGAGCATTAGTAGCATCTACTGTTGGTAAAAATGTCTCACTAACTAAGTGTCTATTTCTCCAGTGTCATTCTCCAAACAGGTAAAACCATGTTTTCTGGATTTTTTTAAGAGAGGTGGAAATATGAAGCACAGGCTTTCAGGTATATGTGAGCTATAGGCTGTCATTTTGAATCTTGCAGGGCAAGAAGTCCTTCAGACCTCCATAAATCAGTAAAATTAATTTCAAATGGAATCCAGTCATAGAGGAATACCAAGAATACAGAGTGCTCAAGAATAATTCTCAGTTTAGTCAGAAGGTCCCATTTAGACCTCTAAAACCCAGCTAATGTAAACAGCTTTTTCTCAAGAGAGGAACACCAAGAACAGATAGTCAGAGCAAGAACTCAGGCCCACGGCTCATCAAAATGCAATTTGCTGAACAAATGGCAGATTGATTTTGCTAATTATCTAGTAATGGAAAGAGAACTAAAATAATCCAGATTCAGCTTTATGGGAAGATGTGACAACTACCATGTCATCACCTGACAACTAACAGCAGCCATGATCCTCCAAAGCTACCTAAGCGGTGCCACTCCAATGCTCTATGGATATGAAGAGTGTGATACAAAGGAATGCACTGAGCAACACAAACCTGATTCTTGTCAACCTTGGCACTTGCATTAGTGATTCAATATAACTGGTAGGCTTTGAGGTAGGGGAAGATGGGTTGTGCCAGGTAATTTCTTTCTCCTTTAGGTCATATGCCATATGCTCATACAAACTATGAGAGGTTTACATCAATGTCCATACAATTCTAGGATAACTAAGTTCACCTGCCTTATGCAGGTGAGGGACATTGGAAAGGCCACCCAGAAAGTCAATGTGCTGACTGACATGACTTCTGGATATGGGAATATTTAGCAAGCTGTGGACATTACTCCAGTTGGCAGTTTTACACATCTCAAAGACAGAATTAAATCTGTGAGCATGTTCAGGTCATACCAAGTCATATGACCTTTCCTGTACCACCTACAGGTCTGCAGACCACAGATCTCACTGCAGTCATGTACAATAATTATTGAGAACAAATAATCTGCATTTAGCAAAGATGAAATTGAAAGGGGTTTTCCTCAAAGCCCCATGATGAAAAGAGAAAGCATGTCTAGTATCTAGTATGTGTAACATTTTTGCTATGCATTGATGTGATATAAGAAAAGATGGACACAGGATGGATAATATCCTAAATTAGGTGGAAGGCACAAGTTATCTTTCCTATTAAACTACAGATGCATTCAAAGTATATCTTTATTCCAAGAAGTTTTGTGTAAGAGGGACTAATCATAGTAGCCTCAATCTTTTCCATCCTTCTACATCTTACAGTAGCCAACAAAAAAGATAATTTTTACAGCAAGGGGAAACAGTTTATATAAACCAAGAAACTAAAACAACCCCATTAATATTATAGGGAGAGTGATTACCCAGCAAGGGACAAGCCCTCAGAATACTTTATAACTGGCACACCAAATACTCATCTTTAAAATGCATACCT